GGGGGGGGGGGGGACAGGCTCGCTTTTGGAATTCACTCAATCCTTCTACATCCGGGTCAACATCCTTCGACTCCTTCAACCTTCTGATCTTCACTGCTATGGTATAACTCAATTGTCTGAATTGCAGTTCAGTACTTGATTGCGTCGCTATTAAATATATCAAGTTGAGAAGCAAAAAAAAAAAGATTGCGAACTGTTCCTTTATCCAACACAAGAATATTGGATTTGACCAAGTATTTCTATTATTCGTTATAAAAGTCATTGTGTTTATTACTTGATATAAACAGCTTTGCATTTTTTTCTTTAAAAATAAAAATAGCGTTGGAGTTTATTAGTTCCTTAAAAATGGTTAACAAATGGTTTACACTGCAAATTTGGTATAAGCATTTTTGACGGAAGAACCGTCATTCCTAACTACTAATTAGTTATTAATTATTGGCATGACCAAGCATCTGTTTACTTCTACGTCACTGTGTTATTGATTACAAACAAAAATTGGCTGAATGTTTGCAAAATTTCAACATATTTAAATTGAATGAAAGCAGTAGATTGACAGTGAAATATTGTTTGAAATGGAATGTAAGGATTTCTTTTTAATTTCATCTGCAATCGAATTTTGTTGAGATAAAACTATGAATTTGAAATTTTAATTTTGATTAATTCAGTGTATTTGTCATAGTAGTATTGTTTATACTTTCACCTATGATTGAAGCTCATTTAGCACGCCATTTTTATTTATTCGTATTGAAGATGAATTTGATTTGATCAAATTTATTTCTCATTTTTTCATCAATTTCGCAACTACTAATACTATCCCATTTACTTAATGTAGAAATCGTTGAATTAGGCAGGGATGTATTTTTGCTAAAGTTAAAATTTCGTAATGTTATACGGGAAGAAGGTGATTTAACACTGATAATTATCCAGCATTTCGACGGTCATTGGAATGCGGAATCTTGGATTGAAAATGGTAGTCACCCATGATTACCTAATATAAATACCTGTGAAGTATATTTTGATGTGACACTTTCAAATTGTTATAACTTCCAAATTGTAATTTCTAAGCTTAAATCCTGAAGAAACATTAAGCATTTGGGAATTAATTGCATTTCAAATTTTGAAAATGCCTACATGACAAAAGCAAGTGGAAGAAAATGTAGACAATCTTAATATAGCCTAATTAAACATTAATAACTTCACCGCAGCAATCCTGCATAAAGGGTTCATTGTCAACTGTATGTTGACAGTTCTATTGAGTTTGATGAATAAGCCGTAACACTGTATTCTCCAAATCTTATTTTTTAAATTCAACATAAATTTTTCAAATTTGAATTTAGTAACCGCCAAATACCTTAGTTTTGTTGCAGGAAATATTTGTCGAAAGAAATGAAAAAATCACATTTAGTCCGGTACAAGAAATTGAGGATGTTTTTTTGAAGCTTGAAGAGTTTTAAACCCAGTGATTTCGAAAGTGTATGATGACAAGTATTAATGAATAAATTGATGACACTGAAGTAGATTGATAAATTTTAAAAAAAAAAGAAAACAAAAAAAGCACAGATACTGGGACCAATGAATGCACGTTGTGATGTTATTGTAATTGCATGCACATACATACGCAAAATCGTGTAGTGAGTCGTGCAATTTTCACCTTGCGGAGAAAACGCAATTTCTGAAAGATGATTTTTTCCCGCCTGAAGCATTTTGTTGCTAATCGAAAACATTCGGGTTAATCAGTTTTTTTTTTTTTTGCACAAAATTCTCCCCCATTATCAGGAACTGATAATTCTCCATCATTATCAAGTACTGATATAGCATTCAATATTTCCAGGGATCATCGATCAAGAAAACCAGTTACATCACAATTTTATATAAAAGAGCAGTGATGAGAGTGTGGAGAAGGGCGGCAATGAAAGGATGGGTTGGAAAGAAGGTAAAAAAAAAAGAAAAAAACTGGAAACATATAATCATAAATGATTATGTAATGACGTATTGATTTGCATATAGAATTCATGTTGGATCATGATAAGAATAAAGATCATTTAAATTATGTTCTGCACAAGTAGGATGCTATCGTTGTCCATAGCACTGTATATGTTAGTGCTCGTTATTTAGCGATGTACGCTAAGAATCTTACACAAATATGCGCTAACAAAAAGCACTAGATCAATGTGCTTTATCAGCATGAGCTAACAGAGGTGCTAATCCTTGTAATCGTAAAACTAATGCGTATAAACTTGATCTGAGCATTTGATGGTCCACGAGCCGAACGCAACCCTCCAACACAGCAAATTTTTTCTGCCGACGGAACAGAGAAAGTAGTCTTCCACTTCCTTCGCTCGCCGTTTTTTCCCTACGCCTGTCCGTCGTTGTGGCAGATGCGGATATCCACTTTGGTGTTTTTGAATATAGTCTTTTTTGTATTTTTTCCATGTTTGAATCAATGCTACTTTTATGTAGTGATTTCTTTCCTTTTGTCATACCATAAATAGACATGTCAACCTAATCTTAAATCAAAACTTTCCAATGTTAAAGTATGTTGGTCTTTTAGAATTCATTCAATTTTAAATAATGATATAATTAGGTCCTCCATATTTTCAATAAATCCATTACAATGTTTCAATTACTGCTTTTTTATGAGGGGATTATATATATACGATATGGTAAGGGTAGAATAGAGCCAAGTATATTAGTCCGGCCCGAAAACCATTCCAATTTCTCATGTGACTTTTATGGAAAAATTAATTTGTCCATCCTTCATATAAACCCAGCAGGAAGCAGGAGGAATTATTCGTTTCATTTATTCTCCAGAATTGTTCTCTTCGAAATTCATCTTTTACCAATATTTTTGGAGTTAGCTTTATGTGTCAGTTTATGTTTTGCAAATCAATATGCTAAATTAATATTGCTACCTTTATGTAATTGTTTGAGATGGAAATAAAGAAAAGTCTTGTGACTTGGATGTCACATTGCATAAAATATTTCTAAAAATACATGAATTTTCAACTTTACTCTCTTTGTCACATTGTTATATTAACTTCTACTGAAGTAATCTTGCGATATATTTATATTTCACTATACATTAGATTGATGATACATGTTATAAAATAGTTGTATTTTCACCAATACTTACGTGACGTTTGCTCACATATCCTGAAATGTTGCACTCCTTTGATATCTCCCCATAATTGTTTGTGTATTCGTGTGCGTGCGTGTATGTCCATGTGTGTGTGTGTACGTGTGTGTGTGTATGTGTGTGTGTGTGT